GTGAGAGGACTAGAAGATATATTTGAGCAAATCATACCTGCAAACTTCCCTAATCTAGGGAATGAAACAATTGTTCATGTCCTAGAGGCAGAGAGAACACCCCCCAAGATCGAGGGGAGATGGACCCCCAGGCATGTGATATTGAAACTCGTGAACCTTAAACTAGGTAAAATATCTTAAGGTCAGCTAGGGGAAGAGATTCCTGACGTATAGAGGGAGGATCATCAAAATAACGTCAGACCTGTCCACAGAAATCTGGCAAGCCAGAAAGGGCTGGCAAGATATATTCAGGATACTAAATGAGAAGAACATGCAGCCAAGAATACTCTATCCAGCAAGGCTGTCATTTAGTTGGACAGAGATGGATGGAGAGAGAAAGAGCTTCTAAGACCAGCAAAAATTGAAGGAATATGTGACCACTAACCCGGCCCTGAAAGAAATGCTAAGGGGAGTTCTATAAGAGAAGAAAGACCCCAAAGAGTGATGTAGAACAAAAATTACAGAGACAATCTATAGAAACAAGAACCTTACAGGAAACATGATGACAATAAAAACGTATCTTTCAATAATCACTCTTAAAGTGAATGGCCTAAATGCTCCCATAAAATGGCACGAGGTTGTAGATTGGATAAAAAGACAGGAACCATCCATACGCTGACTGCAAGAGACTCATTTGAATCTAAGGATACATCCAGACTGAAAGTGAAGGGATGGAAAACCAGCTCTCTTTCATGCTAATGGACTGCAAAAGAAAGCTGGGGTAGCAATCCTTGTATCTGACAAATTAGATTTTCAGCTAAAGACTGCAGTCAGAGATACAGAAGGACACTATATCATTCTTAAAGGGTCTATCCAATAAGATCTAACAATTGCAAATATCTATGCCCCCAACATGGGAGCAGCCAACTACATAAGCCAACTGTTAATCAAAAGAAAGAGACATACTGATAACAATATGTTAATTGTAGGGGATCTTAACAGTCCACTCTTAGCAACAGGCAGACTATCTAAGCAGAATATCAACAAAGAAACAAGAGATCTGATGGACCTCAAAGAAATATACAGAACATTCCACCCTAAAACAATGAAATACTCATTCTTCTCGAGCACACATGTAACTTTCTCCAGAATACACCACATACTGGGTCACAGATCAGAGCTCAACCGATACCAAAAGATTGAGATTATTCCCTGCATATTCTCAGACCACAGGGCTTTGAAACTGGAACTCAATCACAAGAAAAAATCTAGAAGAAATTCAAACACTTGGAAGCTAAGGACCATCCTGCTCAAGAACGTTTAGGTCAACCAGGAAGTCAAAGAACTTAAACAATTCATGGAAACCAATGAGAATGAAAACACATTGGTCCAAAACCTATGGGATATGGCAAAGGCGTTCCTAACAGAGAAATACATGGCCATCCAAGCTTTACTCAAAAAAAATAGAAAAATCCCGAACACTAACTATCTTTATACCTTAAAGAACTGGAAAATCAGCAACCAATTAAGCCTAACCCACTCACGAGAAGGGAGATAATTAAGAAGAGAGCAGAGATCAATGAATTAGAAACCAGAGATGTAACAGAACACATCAACAAAACCAGAAGCCAGTTCTCTGAAAGAATTAATAAGATCGACAAAGCACTGGCCAAACTAATCCGAAAGAAAAGAGAAATGACCCAAAGTAATAAAATTATGAATGAAATGGGGGAGATCACGATTAACCCCCAGGAAATAGAAACAATCATCAGAAATTATTATCAACGGCTATATGCCAATAAATTAAGCAACCTAGAAGAAATGGATGCATTCCTATAAACGTATAAACTTCCAAGACAGAAACAGGAAGAAATTGGCAACCTGAACAGACAATCTCATTCCTAGTTATTTAACTAGGAACAAGACTGAAGCAGTGATCAAAACCTCCCAAAAAGAAGTCAGGACCTGATGGATTCCCTGGGGAATTTTACCAAACATTCAAAGAAGAAATAATACCTACTCTCCTGAATCTGTTTCAAAAAATAGAAACAGAAGGAAAACTTGCAGATCCTTTCTATAAGGCCAGAATTACCTTGATCCCCAAACCAACCAAAGACCCCATCAAAAAGGAGAATTTCAGACCAATACCCCTGATGAATATGATGCTAAGATTCTCAACAAGATCCTAGCTAATACGATCCAGCAATATATTAAAAAGAATATCCACCATGACCAGGTGGGATTTATACCTGAGAATGCAAGGGTAGTTCAACATTCACAAATCAATCAATGTGACAGAAAAAATTAATAAGAGAAAAGAACCACATGGTTCTCTCAATTGATGCAGAAAAAGCATTTGACAAGATACAGCACCCTTTCTGGACTAAAACTCCTCAAATTAGAGGGATAGAGGGAACATTCCTCAGTTTCATAAAATCCATCTATGAAAAACACAGCAAATATCATTCTCAATGGGGAAAAGCTAAGAGCCTTTCCCTTAAGATTAGGAACATGACAAGGATGTTCACTCTCAGCACTATCGTTCAACATAGTACTTGAAGTCCTAGTCATAGCAATCAAACACCAAAAAGAAATAAAAGTTACTCAAACTGGGAAAGAAGAAGTCAAACTCTCTCTCTTCACAGATGACATGATCCTTTATGTGGAAAACTGGAAGACTCCACCCCCAAATTACTAAACTCATACAGCAATTCAGTAATGTGGCAGAATACAAAATCAATGCACAGAAATCAGTTGCTTTCTTATACACTAACAGTGAAACTGTAGAAAGAGAAATATAGAGAATCAATTCCATTTACAATAGCACCAAAAACCATAGGATACCTTGGAAACCCTAACCAAAAAAGTAAAGGATCTATACTCTAGAACTATAGAACACTCATGAAAGAAATTGAAGAAGACACAAAAAGATGGAAAAATATTCCATGCTCATGGATAAGAATAAACATTGCTAAAATGTGTATGTTGCCCAAAGCAATCCATATTTTCAAGCCATCACAATCAAAATACCACCGGCATTTTTCAAAGTGCTAGAACAAACAATCCAAAAGTTTGTATGGAACCAGAAAAAAGACCCCAAATCACCAAGGAAATGTTGAAAAAGAGAAATAAAGCTGGGGACATCGCATTGCCTGATTTCAAGCTATATTACAAATCTGTGATCATCAAGTCAGCATGGTACTGGCACAAAAACTGACACACAGACCAATGGAACAGAGTAGAGAGCCCAGATATGGACCCTCAATCTTATGGTCAAATAATCTTCCACAAAGCAGGAAAAAATATCCAATGGAAAAAAGACAGTCTCTTCAATAAATGGTGCTGGGGAAATTGGACAGCTATATACAAAAGAATGAAATTTGACCATTTTCTTATACCATACACAAAGATAAATGGATGAAAGACCTCAATGTGAGATAGGAATCCATCAATATCCTAGAGGCGAACACAGTAACCTCTTCAACATCTGTCACAGCAACTTCTTTCAAGACACGTCTCCAAAGGCAAAGGAAACAAAAGCAAAAATGAACAGATGGGACTTCATCAAGATCAAAAGCTTCTGCACAGCGAAGGAAACAGTCAACAAAACAAAGAGGCAACCCATGAAATGGAAGATATTTGCAAATGACACTACAGAGAGAGGGTTGATATCCAAGATCTATGAAGAACTTCTCAAATTCAACACCCAAAAACAAATAATCAAGTCAAAAATGGCCAGAAGACATGAATAGACACTTCTCCAACGAAGACATACAAACAGCTAACAGAAACATGAAAAAATATTCATCATCATTAGCCACGTTGAGATACCACCTTCTATCAGTTCGAATGGCAAAAATCGACAAGGCAAGAAACAACAAATGCTGGAGAGGATCTGGAGAAAAGGGAACCCTCTTACACTACTGGTGGGAATGCAAGCTGGTGCAGACACTTTGGAAAACAGTGTGGAGGTTCCTCAAAAAAAAAAAAACAAAAACAAAAAAAACAAAAAACAATTTTGACCCAGCAATTGTACTACTGGGGTTTACCCCAAAGATACAGATATAGCGAAAAGAAGGGGCACATGAACCCCAATGTTCATAGCAGCAACATCCACAATAGCCAAACTGTGGAAAGAGCCAAGATGCCCTTCAACAGACGAATGGATAAAGAAGATGTGGGCCATATATAAAATGGAATATAACTCAGCTATCAGAAATTATGAATATCCAAATTTTGCATCAACATGGATTGGAGTGGAGGAGATTATGCTGAGTATAATAAGTCAAGCAGAGAAAGTGAATTATCTTATGGTTTCCCTTACTTGTGGAACATAAGGAATAGCATGGAGGACATTAAGAGAAGAAGGGAAAAATGAAGGGGAGGGAATTGGAGGGGGAGATGAACCATGAGAGACTACGGACTTCAAGAAACAAACTGAGGGTTCTAGAAGAGAGGGGGTCAGGGGGATGTGTTGGCCCGGTGATGGGTATTAAGGAGGGTACATATTGCATGGAGCACTGGGTGTTAGATGTAAACAGTCAATCTTGGAACACTACATCAAAAACTAATGACATACGGTAAGGTGACTAACATAACACAATAAAAATTTAATAAACAAATAAAATACACTGTCAAAAACACAATACAATACAAAATGTCATCAAAACAGAAATGTGTATTATATTTCTACCACACATTTACTATCATAGTATTTACCGAAACCTCATCAGCAAGGAGCAATATAGGTACAACATTATACAGTAGAGAACCTAAGTGGAATCCCAACCAATTCTACTGCTCAAACTTAAGTTGTTAGCTATAAAAATAATACTTGTAATAGTTAGCTCTTAGAATTGTGTGAAAAATATTAAATGAGAAAATGTCTATAAAGGGCTGAGCATAAAGGAAAAGACACAGTATGGTCCTCACTAATACTGTTAGAAAAGGAATGAAGTTTTTTCCAATATTGAGCCCAATATAAAATAGAAAGAGGATTTCTTATCAATTTATCAATTTACCTTCACTGGCTCCATCTTCTGGACATGAAATAGTCCTGTTCCTGGTATAAAACCTGTCTATTCCAGAACCATGTCCATTATATCCCTGTGACTTAAAAACTCTTTTATCCTCATCAGACAGATCACTTTCACTGGAACTCCATGTTATATCTTTTAGCTCACCGGTACTCTTAGATGCAGCACTTTCTGTTAAAGAAAAAGAAAATGTATAAACACATTCAACTGATATAGTTATTTGTCAGAATGAAATTTTATACATGTTACTCTGTCAAAGTCACAAATAACAAAATTCTGATGAGAGTGAAAGCCATGTCTTAGATCAGCCTGTGTAAAGTTCTATGTGGAACCTAAGATTCTCTGAATTAAAACCAAATTTACGAAGAAAAATGAACTAATTAAGTTTAAAAAAAAAATAAGGAAAATGACTATAGCACAAATGAAAATTTAAAAAAAATAACCTTGAACTAATTATACAACTATAACTTTCTAGAATATTTGATGGAACCAAAAGAACAAGACAAAACACAAAACAAACCATATAACCAGTATTTCTGTACAAGAGAAATGCTTCTGTGTGCCTCCTGTATCATATTAGGAGTCCTAGCAGCCACAATGTGCTTAAAAACACTTAATAAACTCGGGGCGCCTGGGTGGCTCAGTGGGTTAAGCCGCTGCCTTCGGCTCAGGTCACGATCTCAGGGTCCTGGGATCGAGTCCCGCATCGGGCTCTCTGCTCAGCAGGGAGCCTGCTTCCCCCCGCCCTTCCTCTCTCTCTGCCTGCCTCTCTGCCTACTTGTGATCTCTCTCTGTCAAATAAATAAATAAAAATCTTAAAAAAAAAAAAACACTTAATAAACTCTTTTAACTAAATTTGTCATTTTGAGGTAACAGTAGATCCACATAGAGTTGTAGGAAAAAAAAAAAAAGAGAGAGAGAGAGAGAGAGCCCTTGTATGCTTTATCCAGTTCCTTTAATGGTAACAATCTGCAAAACTATAGTGTAACATCACAACTAGAATATTGATTCTGATACCTACAAGACACAAAACAATTCCATCACCATGAGAGTACCTTGCATTACTTTTATAAAGCCACATCTTAGCCACCCTCCTTACCCAATTCTCAACGTCTAGCAACAAATTAGCTTTGCATTTTTGTAATTTTGTCATTTCAAGACTGGTATATAAATGGAATCAAACTATGTGACAATTCAGGATTGGCTTCTTTTACTCAGCATAATTCCTTTGACATTCATCCAAGTTGTTCTGTGTATCAACACTTTCCACTACTAAGTATTGTTACATGACATGTATGCACCATAGTTTACCCATTCACCCACTAAAGGGTATCTGTGTTGTTTCTAGTTTGGGGCTATTACGAATAAAGCTGCTATGAACATTGTACACAGGGTTTTATGTGAAAGTAATTTTCATTCTCTGGGATAAATGTCAAAGGGCAATTAACAGGTTGTATGGTAATTGCATGTTTAGTCTTATAAACTGCCAAACTTTTCCAGAGTGGCTGTACCATTTTACAATCCTATCAGTAACATAACATATCCCGTATCACTGACAGCATTTCGGTGTTGTCACCATTTTTTACTTTGTCATTCTAATAGGAAACCTAGAAAGAATGGGGCTACTCCATCTTGATGTAATAGGAAGTTGAGAGGAAACTTTACTAACAGTGATCAGAAAAGGAATACACACCTAAAAAAAATAAATTTTTCTGCTTATGTTTACAATTTAGTTACAATGCTAAAACTTAAAAAAAATCTTAGACATATTTCAATGAGATTAAGAGGTTAGATATTATAATTCAAGTTCTATTGTAGAGGAAATAGGCTTAGAAGTTAAATGGTTTCATTCAATACATATTTACATAACAACTGATAAAGTCTTAAGGAAACAGAAAAATAAGAAAACTTCTCTCTTAAGGAATGCATAGTCTAAAACACAAATCATAAAAAGAAAAATTAACTATTAAATTCGAGGTATGTCACACATAACAGTGGCACAAAAAAAGCAAGTGCTCCAATATGTGTTCATCGGGAAAATAGATTCACTGACAAAATGATGTCTGAAAAAACAGCACTTACAAAGGCACAAAAGCATTAAATATAAACATTTACTAAACACTTACTTGGTGCCACGAACATCCAGAATTACTAAACTTGTCTACCTTCAAAACATAAAATTAAAAATAAACTAAACTTCATCCATATTGATTTAAATAGCTAATAAAAACTAAGCTGTGTATTTACTTACAAAAGATATTATCATATCAGTCCCTTTTATTATTATGCATCTGGAAGAGTAAACTGAAAAGGAAAGAGTGGAATATGACAGAAGGAGAGAATGTATCCCTTAAAATTCACAGTTCTGGGGCACCTGGGTGGCTCAATTGTTAAGCATCTCCCTTTGTCTCAGGTCATGATCCCAGAGTCTGGTCAGGTAGAGCTCCTAGCTCAGTGGGGAGACTGCTTCTCCCTCTCCCACTCCCCCTGCTTGTATTCCCTCTCTTGCTGTCTCTCTCTGTCAAATAAATAAAAAAAATTTTAGGAAAAAAAATTCACATGCTGAAACTTAGTGGGATTAAGAGGTAGGAACTCTGGAGGTGATTAGGTCATGAGGGTGGAGCCCTCATGGGATTAGTGCTCTATATAAGAATTCTCCAGAGAGATTCCTGGCCCCTTCCTCCATGTAAGTCAACAGCAAGATGGTAGAGTCATGAGCCTGGAAGTGAGTCTTCACCACACACTGCATATTCTGGTATTATAATATGTATATTATATTCTGAATATTCTGGACCAATTTCTGCCATTTAAACTACTTAGTCTATGGTATTATTGGTCTATTACTGGTCTATTGGTCTATTAGTGTGATCAGACTAAGACAGGAAGGAAGGAAAGTTATCACTACTTTCAGATTATATAATGAATTCATGGAATTCATAATCCATGAATTACAGAAACTTTACATAAGTTATGCAGATAAAACCACTACCAGGAATTTAATATCAACTCATTTTATTTGTTGAAGGGTACCCTTGAAATCAAGACCCAGTCCAGTGAAATTCTAGGAAGGATATCAGCTAGACTATGAGAATAGCTACAACAGGTAAACATTTATGAGCGCCCTTTGCAAGCCAGGCATTGTGCTAGCATGTGGTATTACAGGCTGAACTGTGTTACCCCAAAGGTCATTCACATGTTAAAGTTCTAACACTCCAGTATCCCAGAATGTGATTATTTGGAGACAGGGTCTTTACAGAGGTGATAAAGTTATTCCAATAGGACAGGTGTCCTTATAGGAAAGGAAAATCTGGACACATGCAAGGAGTGAAGACACACACATGGAAAGTGAAGATACACAAAGAGTGAAGAAACACATAGAAACACAACCATTACAAGACAAGGCAAGAACCCTAGAGCAGATCCTAGAAGGAACTAATCCTGCTAATACCATCATTTTGGGTGCAAGTAGCCTCTAGGACTGTGAGATAGTAAGTTTCTGTTATTCACATGACCCAGTTTGCAAACTTTATTACTAGTATTTTATCATGGCAGCCCTGGCAAACTACTACACCTAGGATATACAGAAGAGCAACAAAGAAAACTCTGCCCTTTGGAAACAAATGATACAAAGAGGAGAAAAGCAATTCAACAAATATAACAACAACAAACAAAAAAATTAAGTGACTCCTCTTGAGGAACAAGCATTTCTGACCTCAAAAACAAAAATTTTAAGAAGAAAATCTGTATGGCTTTTAAGGAAAAAAAACCTTTTTAAGGAAAAGAAAACCTTTCACTTTGGTAAAAAATATATATATTTTTATTATTATGTTATATTATTATATAAAATAAATAAATAAATATATGTATGTGTATGTATGTGTGTGTGTGTGTGTATATATATATATATATATATATATATATATATATATATATATTTAAGTTCTACTTTTCAAAGAAAATCATCTATAAAGGTTCCAGGCTCTTATTTTCAAGTGTATAATCTTTTTTCTTCCTTTTCCCTCTCCTTCCCATTGCCTATTTCCTACCTTATTCAGTCTTCTCTGGTTACAGTGCCTTACAGTTGAGGAAAGAGAGACACAGAGACATATCTCCCCTTTTGGGCACATTCTGCAAAAGTATATTCCCCCAGTTCTCCTTTCCAGCTCTCACAAAAATACTACTTCCCAGCCTAAAAATTCTGTTAATATTATGTCTGAAACTAATACCTTAGAAGCTACAATTGGGGGGCATCTGGGTGGCTCAGTGGGTTCAGCCTCTGCCTTCAGCTCAGGTCATGACCTCAAGGTCCTAGGATTGAGCCCCTCATTGGGTTCCACAGCCCCCCCCCGCCTGCCTCTCTGCCTACTTGTTCTCTCCCTCTGTCAGATAAATAAATAAAATCGTTTGAAACAAACAAACCCAAAAAAGCTACTATTAGGGCATCTGGGTGGCTCAGTCACTTGAGTGTCCAACTCTCGGTTCCAGCTTAGGTCATGATCTTAGAGTCATGAGATCAAGGCCCATGTACAGCTCCACAAGGGGAATAGACACTGCTTAAAATTCTCTCTCTCCCTCTGCCCCCCACTCTCCTGCACTAAAAAGGAAATTTTTTTTAAAAAAGGTACTATTTAAAAAATGAGTCAGTTCTAGGAAATACCTTGAGACCCTCATTCCTATCAATTTCTGTTTACCAGTTTTTGTTAAATTTTTAACAATATTTACTTGCCTCAACAGGCAGTTATGTTGTAAATACAGTAATTATACATTGATGCAAGCTCTTTCAGCCTTTCAGAATATACTGATCATTCTATGAAGTACAAAGAACAGGAGGGTGGGTCGAACATATATTGGCACAGGGAAACCATCGCAAAAGATCTTTCTGTAATTAAACACAAGTTCAGAGCTTATTTTATATTTCCTTTTTTTTTTAAAGATTTTATTTATTTATTTGACAGAGAGAGATCACAAGTAGGCAGAGAGGCAGGCAGAGAGAGAGAGAGAGAGAGAGAGAGAGAGAAGCAGGCTCCCTGCTGAGCAGAGAGCCCGATTCAGGAATCGATCCCAGGACCCTGAGATCATGACCTGAGCCGAAGGCAGCGGCTTAACACACTGAGCCACCCAGGCGCCCCTTATATTTCCTTTTTTCCTCAAGTTGAATATGGCTACACTTA